CAACTCTTACTACACTTATGAGTTATGACTTGATTTACTATAAAAAGAAAAACAAAGGCTGCTGCATCTGTACAAGTATGCATGTTTTTATAGTCGATTTTACTCTTTTTCTGCAAATTATCCATCTGTTTTCAGCTTTTGATGTGTATAAACTCTATTATAGTATAAACTTTAATTAATTAAAGGTGATAGTTTCAAAAACTTTATAGTATATACGTATAATAAGGTAATAATGTAGTATAGTACTATTAATTTTATGTGTTTCTCTACTTTAAATTGTAAGTAATTAATAAGATAATAAAAGGATATTGTAAGGTACTATCGTGGAAGCTAAATGAAATTGGTTTATAAGTTACAAAGCTAGTTTACCAAAACTTATGGACGTAAAAACAGTTGAACCAAATTATACTTACTAGCTCCACATATATAGGAGTCGTCATTGATAAGTTAATGTATGTGAGTGAGACTTGTTAATTAGCAACACTAAATTAGGTCTATCAGTTAAAGTCTTATGATTCTTAGCTCATGAATTTGATAATTAAATTGGAGTTGTTGAATCACTTGGGATTTGGTGATTTTGGTCACCAGATAAGGAGAGAAACAAGAAATAATAGGTTCTAATCAAATCAGATCAGATCAGTTTGAATAAGTTCTGACATAACTTATTGTTTTATGTACGGTTATTTATATTTAAATATCTTTAATTTTGTAATAAAGCAAATTAATAAATTACATATTATTACGAATTTAACAAAACCCCACTTTATATATTTTTTCCTTATAGATTAGCGTACATATAAAGTCAAAGTTTAGTTAAATCAAATCAGATTAGAAAAAAAAAAAAAGTAGGATCTTGCTAACGAGCGTCCCGGGGCGTTAGATAAGGATAAATTATATTGGTTGAAATGGTATTAAGTTAGGAATTCATGACAAAATCACGCGTCGTTCGGTGTAATTAATGTTAATTTTACTCTAATATTTGCATTTTAATTCTCTTATCTAACGCTCCGGGGGCGCTTATTAGCTTTTGCCAAATAAGTATCACATCAGATAAGCAAAAATAAAGTGAATTAAACAAGCTCCAAGCTTCATAAAAATAATAATTTAAGTTCAGTATATATATATATAAATGTTTTATGCAATTTTACTCTATTTAATAAAACAGTTATTTGTAAAAATATTGTAATAGACTAAATATCTTATAAACACTAAATGTTGTTCCCAGTTTGCTACCCATGCGAGTTATAAAGGGGCTATGGGGAACTAGTTGAGTAAAGGGTGGAAAAGGGGTCATTAAACGTCACTCTTATTTAATATTTCCTCCGTTCTTTTTTTACTTGACTCGCTTTGTCTTTTACACTATTCACTACCTCTCCTTTGACCGTCTTTTGTGAATTAAATGTAAGGATGGAAAAATATATTCACGTGGGATGTTTTTGAATTCGTCTCAATAAGTACTATCATAATATACAACTTTTATAATTTTTACTTACAGAGAATTAAGGTTATTGATCGCTTAAGTTTTGTATTGGCAAGCATGATAAAAGAAACAGGTCAAGTAAAAAAGAATAGAGGAAGTATAATGCAAGAATCCAGCAGAAGGTAGGCTCTGTTCTTTTGAGCTTTTGAGTAGAGCATAGAAGATTTCATTAGAGCAGAGCAGGTATCAATAGATTATTAATTAATACTTAACAAAGTAGAGCAAAGTTTAATATATTAGAGAAGAACAAACTACATACATCAGCTCAAAAGAACATGATCATAGTTTCTTATAACATTTCTAAGAGTTTGTTCTCTTCAGCTTAATTCCAGTTCAGTTCAGTTCCTAAATTCCTTCTCTCATAGACAACTTATTTCAGTTCAGTTACAACCAGTTCAGTTCAACTCAATTTAGTAAATCAAAACAGACCCTAAGTCAAACTTACTAAAGATGAGGAGTGATTCTAATAGGTTACATACAGGGTCAAGGGATTTGACAAATATCTTTGAGTACATTAAATAGAAAAGTTTGATATTATGTGATAAAATCATAAAACAACATATCAAACATGATTCTACATTCCTAAATTATAAATTTTTGAAGAGATTTATCAACATTGTAATGTATACATTTTCATTGGAATCTATAGTGATTTTAAATAAAAATTAATTAATTATCAATTGGAAATGGAGTGTCCAAAAAATTATATTCGCTATAACTTGAAAATTAATGTGTCTACAATACATAGGGCTTTATTATTTAAACAATAAAATAAACTTAACAGTATTAGACCTTTTTTTTTCCATATATACTCTCTTTGTTCCTATTTATTTAGCCCCATTATCAATATTTGAGTTAAATTTTACTAAATTTGACCATAAAATGCTTTGTTCACTTCACCTTATAAAAATAATCATTAAAAATAAATTTTGTTAAATAAAAAAAAGTTCAGTTAAAGAATAAAATTAAGTTCAGTTCAATAAAAATAATCTTAGCTAGCTTAGTAGAGATCGGTAACATTAAATAAGAGGTATAATAGAATATCAGTAAAAATAATTTCAGTTTAGAAAATATAAGATGAAGTGAACATAGCGTAAGAGATAAGTCAAATAATATAATCATATACGATCTTGTTGAATTTGTCATTGTATATTTTATTCAGAAACATAGATAGATTCACGTAGTCGCTATTTTTAGCCCCATTGGACTTCCATGATCTCTAAGACACAACATTTTATTATTATTTGTAAAAGAACCAAGATCGATAAATGAGAGAAAATGTAAATATTACATACTTCGTATTAGATTAAGTAAAAACAAAAAAGTGAAGATGAAGAGGTGAGTGAATTCGGGTGAAAATGTGTAATCTATATTATAATTGTAGAGAAGACACTTTTCACCAAAATCCTCCAAAACCCAAATGCTCAACTCTCATGCATTTAAGGTTTTTTTTTTTTTTTTTTTTTTTTTTAAATAACTACCTATCCAACAATTTTATTTTTATTTATTTTTTATCATTTTTTTTTAAAAAAAACAATAACTACCCATCCAATATTTGCTTTTTGTTTTTTTTTCAATAAAACATTTAACTTTGTGTTTTTTTTTGTACGTAGTATAATATATGACATGCATTAACACGAGTATACAGTTCCCTTATCAACAATTCACTATAACACTCAAAATCCCCAAAATTTCACTTTTTTTTAAAACAATATGTACTAACATTTTACTTTGTTTTACGAGTATTTTTTGGTACATAGTATAATATATGTCATGCATTAGCACGAGTATACAGTTCCTTTATCAACAATTCACTATAGTACTCTAAGGGCCTGTTCTCATTGACTGAACTCAACTGAACTGAACTGAACTGGACTGAGCTGAACTGAAATGAAATGAATATTTTATAAGAGAAGGAAATTAGGAGCTGAACTGAACTGAACTGAGCTGAAGTGAATTTCTACGTAAGAGAACAGACCCTAAATCCCCCAACCCTTCAATTATATGCATTTTTTTAGGCACTACCCTCTAAACAATTTTCACTTCTCTTATCATAAAAAAAAAAAAGAAGTACAACACGTTTTTGCGCAACTGGCCTCACCGAATAACTATTTGCAACAGATTAAAGTATATAACTCTTAGAGTAAGACATGCACTAACCCATATGACACTAACCGAGTAACCTCTATAACACTAAACGGGTAACCTCTATAAATTTGACATAGCAAACCCCATAATATCTAGCTACATTGCGTGGCCACCGGCATAAAAGAGTAAGACCCTGTTTTTTGAGCTTCTAAGCAAAGCAGGGGATATCATATGCAGAGCAGGTGTCAGCACATTGTTAATACGATTATTAATACTCACTAGAGCAAAGCTAAACAGGGTTCAACAGAGTCGACCAGTCCAAAACCGACCATTGCAACCCAAGTATAAGTTATAACATCAAGATAAACTTTCCATATTTTAAATATATTTTTTCTTATATATCCCGTGCATTTTGCACGGGTACACTCACTACAACAAAATAAAGCAAAAGTAATAGTGAAAAACCATTGCCTAATATAAAAAAACTGTTGCCTTATAGCAAAGGCAACAAATATGAGGCGTAGTATATGCCCCCGTTGTCTATTCATAAGACAACACATTTTTAATCAAAGGCAACAATTTTGAAAACCAAGGTAAAATGATACATAAGGCAACACTTTTACAAAGACAACAAATGAAAAATGTTGCCATGTAAGGAGACAGTTCAAAAATGTTTCTAAATGTTGCCACTCCCAAGCATTTAGTAGGTTGTAGGGATCGAACTTGTGACCTCAAAGCCTCAAAGTCACAAGCTGATTTCACCACCAACTCTACCAAACTTATATATATATATATATATATATATATATATATATATTACACACACTCGCCATAAAAGCAACCAACATCTTAAATTATGTTGTCTTTTTAATATAAATGTTGCCGTAGATGACAACATAGATATTAATGTTACATTTTCAAGCTATAGTTTTGTTATTGTTATCTTTTCATGCAACAATTATTATGTTTGTTGTCTTAGACTAGAAAAAGGTAACACTTTAAGCGACTGTAGTCTTATATAGTCTAGAGCAACACTTTTTTATCTGTTACTTTAGTTCAAGGTAACAAATAAATATTGTTGCTTTAGATTATAAGAGTATCATTTCTGTAAGTGTTGCAATCTTAAGTGTTGCCTATTCTAATTTTTTTGTAGTGACTCTAGTTATTGTAGAATAAGGCCCTGTTCTCTTCACCTTAAAAAAATAATAAGTAAAAATAATTTCAGTTCAGTAAAAATAAGTTCAGTTCAGTAAAAATAATTTCAGATCAGTAAAAATAAGTTCAGTTCAGTAAAATTCAGTTTTCTTAAAGAAGAATTATAATAGAAAATCAGTAAAAAAATAATTTCAGTTCAGTAAAAATAATTTAAGTTCAGTAAAATAAGTTCAGTTCAGTAAAAATAAGTTCAGTTCAGTAAAAATAATTTCAGTTCAGCAAAATTAAAGTGAATCAAACAGGACCTAAGAGAGATAAAAAGCGTTATTAATTAGGAAAATTATGTAAATAAAAAATGTTAATAACATTACGAAATGAGGGTGTATAAATTTGGTGTATTTTTAGGACAAAAAATGACTTGGATGAAAAATTAGAAATAGAAAAAGTACCAAAACATAAATAAAACAAAGTTATTGAATTAACCATAATTAATAAAAAGAAAATGCTATACATAAAATAAAATAATAAAAATAGTTGTAGTAAAATCTCAAAGCAGCAAGCAGGCAATAAATTCCCCTGTCTCTCGCATTCTCATTCTCCAAACTCCAACTTCTCCTCTCTCTTCTCCTTCCTCTGCACTCTCCTCAACTCATTCTCACACAACAACTTCACCTCAACTCCAAATCAACTCTACTATCTCCTCCATTCCCTCTTTCTCTCTCCTCCCTTCGCCATTTTCTGGCGACAACCATGACGGTTTTCTCTCACACCTCCGCCGCCATCGCCGGAAAACAGATTTTCCCGGTCAACTACGAAGCCGAGGTTTCTCAACGCCTCCTCGATTCTCTCTCCTCCGGCGATCTCAAAGCCGCTTCCGACTGCTCTTCCAACTCTTTTCTCGACGTTAACTTCGTCGGCGCCGTCTCTCTTAAGCTCCGTCGTCCTGAGGTTGTTCTCCGTGATCATTTACCAAACGACGTCGTTCTTCACTATGAGGAGTTCAAAACTGACGTCACTCCACTTTTTCTCGCTGCTCATTTCGGCAATTTTAATCTTCTTCGTCAACTCCTGGTAATTTTTTATTCGTATTTATTGATCGATTTTATTTTGATTGAAGTTTAATTAAATTTATTTTTATTTGTTTTATTTTTGCTTTTTAGTCAAAATCTGCTCTAGTTTTGGTAATAGTAGATTTTTCATGATTTTTTCTATCTTATGAGTTTTTTCAATATTTGCTGTTAAAATTTGAATTTCTACACGTCTAAAAATGTACAGTGGTCCTCCATTTGGAATTGTAGAATTTTACGGAAAAAGTGCTTGAAATTGATTTCTAGTTTGAATTTTAAATTTCTCCTGCATTTAATTTTTGCACGTTCATAACTCGGGCTTCGTGTTATCGATTCCGGTGTTTTAAAATTATATTTCCTCCATTCCAAATTAATTACTGCTACCGCTATTACTATAATTTTTCTTTTAATACGAATAAAAACGTGATTATAATTTCTGAATGAGAAAAATGTCTAATTTGCTCTCACTACTCACCCTTTCGTGTTTTCGAGTTCGGTTCGGGTAGTTATATTCCCTCTGTTTTGAAATAAATTGTTGTAGTACAGAATACGAGTATAATTTTTTAATTTAATAAAAAACGTGACTATTAATCCCGAACTTATTCAACATCCAATTAACGGTAATAAATTAAATGTTAATTTGCGTGAAATAATGGAGTACACAAAAATTGACATGGATTATAAGCACAGAGAATATGTGATCGATAGTAGCAGTAACTGATTTCGCGGGTACATGTCTTAAAATTTGAAGCCTACTACGGAGTACATTCTTTAATTTGACTTGAATTACTTTCACGTATTTTTGAGTACAAGGCTCGTTTACCTTTTTCTATTTTAATGGTCCCACTAAAGTTAATTTTGAAAGGAGTATCTCCAATTTAATTTGCGCAAATTTTGGATGATCTTCTTCCTTCAAATGAAAGATTTACATTCTATTTTAATACTTTTGTTCTTACAATCTATATTAATATTAAAAATCAAAATAAAAAGATTATGTTACATTTGTACTAATTTAAGGTTTATATCAAGAAATTGTTTAGATGTCTACGTTACCAACACTAGATAGTAGACAGTCTTCACAAGACGACAACAATCTTTAGGTGAGAAAATAATGTTTTCCTCGTGAGTACAATCTCAATTTAATTTATTTTCCTTATCATTATAGGAAGTGTAGACAATTTTAATAATGCGATTGATTGAGTATAAAACCAGTTTTGAACTTTAAGTGTTAACTTAATCGTTTGATTTAGTTGGTCCTTGTAACATGGTATTAATAACCAAGGAAAATGATGTATATATACAAAAAGTTAGAAATATAAGTATTAAGTCAAATCAAATATTAATTATACTAGTTAATATATAATCGTACCATTCATAATTAAATTAATAAGAGTATAAATTACATTTTTAATTGACCTCAAAAAAAAAAAAAATATTTACTCGTACATTTTTAATTGATTTACTTCGTACTATCAAATATTTATAGGCTATCATAAATCGGTACTTGTAGCAAAAATAAAAATGTAATGTAGAGCAAGTTTAGTTTGAAGTACAAAATTCATTTTTCTGTAAAAAAAGAAGTACAAAGTTCATTAAATTATCTCGAGGTCAACATTGTCTTCTTTCTCCCTCCTAATTTCAGCTTTTTAATGTTTTAGAAATTTATTACTCTGTATTTCACTTGAAAGAGTAATTGAAAATTATTCTCAGTACAATAATCAATAATCAATTGCATTCTGAATTAACCTAGTTCGCTGGTTGGTTTGATAGCAGCCTTACACAAAGCTAAATTGCTTCTTTTTGTGCATTATTAGTACTTCTTCATTTAATACTATTAGTACCACAGATAAGTTATTTTATGTTGGCAAAAAAATTATTTGTCTCTTTAGTTACAAACGTTTTTCATGCCTTGATGAACTAAAAATAAATGGAAAATCTTAATCATGTTATTTGGCACGTATCGATTTAATATATAAAAAGTAATGAGCGTAATCCAATTCAGTTACAAAGTATGTTAGATAAGCAGGTAGAAACCCTTAATTACCTTTTTTATTTTTATTTTTATTTTTATTTTTTTTAATTTATTATTATTATTATTTTTTATTTTATAGTGTACTCCAATTTAGTTACAAAGTATGTTAGATGAGTAGGTAGAAAACCTGATTACCTGATTATCCGTTAAGTAGCTCAAAAAAGCAATTGACGGTGTTTGGAGGCAAAGCCAAAACAAAAGAATAAGGACTTAAAGCTCCTTGGGCACCACAATCTGGCATTTATAATAAACCTGAAGCATAATAAATGCTTAAATTAGTTTTGTACTTGAAATTATCATCAAAGTGGGAGGTATTAAAAATAAAAATGATCTTCTCTTTCATTATCTGAAAGCTTGCTAGTCAAGACGGGTGTGAAGTCCCTACCAAACTTGCTAGGATTGAATGTTCTTATTGTTATGCTCTGCTATCATTTAAGCGTGTTACTTAAATGCTATTATATGTTTTTGCTGTTCATCTGAATAGTAATTGTATATTCGATATTACACTATACCTAATTATACTTCAAATTGAATTTTAAAACATAGTACGACTTTTTATACAATAAAGTATTAAAGTGCATTCGTGCTTAGATTAATTGAAAATCTAGCCATTTTAATAAACATGTTGTCTGATTAGCTACCTTTGCTTAATTTTATTACTTGGGAATTGATCTATATTCTGTTTGTTTAAAGCTAATTTAACTCACTTAACTTTATACTCATTTAAATAATTTCAATAAACTAAAAATATTATCTTTGATTATTTTTTAAGCTCCGTAAATTGTTACAGAGTATTACTAAATATTAGGGAAGGATTATCTGCTTATGTATGTGTCAACTGTCAAGTTTGGGTGTAGGTGAGCAAACATTTGGAAAATAAGGTATAAATATTGTTAGTATTTAAACTCATTGCAAGGACCAAGGACCACACGAAGCATTGTTTAATTTTTCTTTTTCCTCAGCCCAAAGTCAATGCTCCTTGTTTTGAATATTCCCTTTGAAGTTTTAACAAAACGGTGCGTTTTTGCTTGTGAAGAGACAATTAGCCTTAGCCTAATACTTTTAAAGTTCTAATCCATCCCATTTACTTTGACATTTTATATTAGTGGCTTGGTAAGAGTTGAGTAAGTGCCCATTCTATCAATCTTATGCAATAAGGATTATTGATTTAATTAATTTTTCAAGTCAAATAAGTCATTTGCTTAACTTAGAATAATCGAGAGAGTGAGGGATAGCTCAAGTGGTTAGAGCTCCCCTCCCGATTCCAAGAGATCTTGGATCGATTCTCATCACCTGTCTTTGTGCTCTCTAAACACCAAAAAAAAAAAAAAAAAAAAAAAAAAACTTAGAATAAGAGGGATGATAGAGAAGCAGGGGTTTTAATTGGAGGGAAAAGGGGTGTATTAAGCAATATAGGAGGTCACGTGACTGAGTGACTCGCACACTCGTGGTCAACATCGGGAAAAATAGAGTCAATGCCGGAAAGTAAAATTTGGTTGTCTTTGATAAAAAAAAATTTATAATGTGATCTGAAATAAAAAAAAATAAAATTTAAAAGGTAATTTTCCTAATATAAAATAAGAAATATCCTATACAAGTAATTATTGATGAGTATATTGTCACACATGAACAATATTTCTTGTAGGGAAAACCAACATGTCCATGTCAACACATGAAACAAAAAATAAATTTAACCTTGAACTTGAGACAGGCAATTTGTCGGGGAAGGAGGGAGATTACAAATGTGGTAACAACATGGTGCAATTGTGTAGATTGCTAATAATTTGCATTGTTTAGTTTTGTTTTGTCATTGTTAGTAGTAACTTAGTATCATAGGATTCTTCTGGTAGATGCTATAATTAGCGGATCTGAATATCTAGTTGACATACTTGACATGGTGCACATGAAGATCCGCAAGGCCCATATTTAATTGTTCCTCATCCATGAATACAGACCGACGTCGTAATTTAACTTAAAAATATGTAGTAAATCCCTCTTTCATACAGTTGTTTACAAAATAATGTACTTTCTTGCTCCCTTGTTTCTGTTTGTCATGGCATTTTCTGAGTCTTTCTTTGTCTCTTTATGTAAATCTTAGTTCTAAATCATTAAGGCATATTTTTTTTTTCTTCGAAGTATTTGTTTTTTTTGTTCAATCATTCTAAAAGAGAATATACTTGCGGTCTGGAACTAGTAATAGTTACATTGTCCCAAGGGTTTGTCATAATTTGATTAGAAACTCCTCGTAACATTCGAGATTTAATAAAATGTGACCATGTATTCCGGACATTCCAAATTAGTATATATGACTTTTTTTTTTCTTGCCGACATTAATAAAATTTCTGAGATTCTAGCTGTTTTCATGGATGACAGAATGCTGGAGCTGATGTAAACCAGAAACTATTCAGAGGTTTTGCGATTACTGCAGCAGTGAGAGAAGGGCATCTCGAGATTGTGAAGGTGCTGCTCAAGGCGGGGGCTTCTCAACCAGCATGTGAGCAGGCTCTCTTGGAGGCTAGCATTCATGGACGGGCAAGGTTCGTGGAACTGCTGATGGGATCTGACCTTATACGGCCCCATGTTGCCCTGCATGCTTTTGTCACAGCATGTGGCAGAGGATTCACTGATGTTGTTGATACAATGATTAAGGTCCGTAATAAATTAACGCTTCAACGTATCCCATACCATGTTAACTTATTAAGTATACAGAGGTTTTTGTCATCTACTTAATTCTCTCTTGGCATTATTATTGATAATATGCACGTTTATACCAGTTAACCCTTAAATTTATACATAGGTAATTGCCTTAGTGAAACTAAGAACATTGAATGTTAAATGTTTAGACAATATAATAATATACAAGTACATAAATTCGTTAACTTTTGAAGCAAATTATTAAGGTAAAATGTTAATTTCTTTTTTATACAGAGTTGACTCGTGCTCTTATTTACGTTGCACACTAGTATTAGATAATGCTTAGCATCTAAATGATGAATAATACTGTTGCGTTATATCAAGGTGTGGATCCAACATCCAATTGTTATCGTCTCAAATTAGTTACAACTTATAAGCAACACGTACATATGGCACAGTGGATCTACACAGGTCCATTGAGTGATACATTTTTTGGAGTATTGGCTTACATGGAAATTTTGTTGTATTGTTTTAACTGGCAGTGTGGTGTGGATACAAATGCAATGGACCGTGTACTTCTCCAATCATCCAAGCCATCTCTTCATGCCAACATTGATTGCAATGGGCTAGTCGCTGCTGTTGTCAGTAGGCAACCATCTGTTGTCCGTTTGCTGCTACAGGTGACTTTACTATTTTCACTGTCAATTTTTGTTACTGGTGATAGACTGTTTTACCATCTGATCCCTTCCCCTTAACTGAAAATTGATATGAAGATAATTCTTTATTTAAAGTAAAGAAAAAATTTACTGCTATTAGATGGCGGAAATGTTAGCCGTTAAGTCTTACCTACACGTGAGTTATTTGGAAAATTATCTCCTTTCACTAATGATGAAAAGTTGAAAACGAGATTTAATTTCACGTCTAAGGTATCACCCCATGATTTTTTAAAGTTAAGTTAGTTGTTAGTTGTTATGGGGTTTTTACAAGTATGAAAACCAATTTATCCTGTTGGTGATTGAACATTACATTATTATGTTTTGCTGGCCTGTCAACTGGATGAGTTACCTTTTTTCGGGTGCAGAAATAAGACACCTCCTTAACACAAAGTATGTTGTAGTACTAAAAGTGAAGTGATGGACTTGATTCTATCCGATTAATGAAGGACCTCATAACTACACTAGACAATGACATTATTAAAATTAACAATCTTGATTTAGATATTTTGTGTCATGGTAGCTAATTTGTTGAAATCAACCAGATTTTTAACCAAATTAAAACGAAGTGAATCATCCCTTGAAATTGACTTGAACCAAATTAATTTGGAGACCCTTAAATTTACTTGTAATTTATTACCAAGATATATTTTGTTTTTTCAGATGGTGAAGAATAATCTACCTTAAAAAAAGTATAATGTACATTTTACCAAGGGGTTAAGAAACACAATAAGAAGGATTATTGATATAAATTGTTCGGTCTTAGCAAAGTTTTAGCTCAGGTTGTCTACAAGTCAATTCGATATCAGGTAAGATTCTTATACGGGTCAATATAGTCCATTCTGTTTCGGGTTCAATCTAATCAGGTAGGATCGGTTATTGGTTCCCAATAATCACAATCTAAGCGGGTCGATTTTTGTGGGGTTGGGGCATTAGTTAGTTTCAAGAGTCAGATCATAAATTGATAATGGTATTAAATTTAAAAGCACCTGGGAGGCTAGACCTAACAATATAACATGTACAGATACAGAGTACGGACTAACACCTAACATGAAGTGTGATCCTTTTCAGCTCATATCTTGCGATAACCGTGCTTGCTTAGGAACCACTGAGTCACTGACATAGCAATATATGGCACAATTATTTGCAGTATGCTTGTACTACTGAACAGGTCAATTTTATCCTTGTACTATTTGTGACGCGTTAAGTTGTTGGGTGAATGGGTCATTAATGACGTTTGTTCAGAGCTTCAGAATACCATATTAATAACAGCTGGATTTGTAAGTGTGTAACCATACAAGTACGTTGTATCCGTACAATGTACTTGTACGGATTGAGAATGTATCTGATTGCAAATACTAGTAGCTTCTTAGCTCATTGCCTATGGTCCAGTAGTCAGCTGCTACTGTGGTACATGAATAACACGATGAGGGAGAAGAGAAACCTTCAGCTACTGTCTTATTGAGAATAAATATAGCATGGCACAGTAAATTTTAGACCTGCAGTAAACACTGTTAGGTGTATTAGGAGATTTAACTTGGAGAATATATCGTTTTTGATTAAAAAAATTACTGACTTCCCTCAAAGTTACTAGAGTATATGACCTGTATGTTAACTTGGAAAACTATACAAGTTTATCCCCTTAATATGCATGCGAGTAATGCACAAGTGGGGGTGTATATTTTTTTGAAAAAAGTGGGGGTGTATATTAAGTGAATACTTCCTCCGTTCTATTAATATTGCAACAATGGACTTTTTGCACTATTCATCACTCTCGTTTGACCATATAATATGAGTTATACGTTAAGCAAAATATAGTCAAGTGAGATCTTGTTGGATTCGTCTCATTTAATACTTTCACAATATCAACTTTTTATAATTTTTACTCTTACACAATTATAGATATTTAGCATATAAAATGTGTTTTGGGATGCGTAATTTCTTCCTTATTGCAATATTAACAGAACGGAGGAAGTATATCTTTATAAAAATGTAAGAAGAAAAAAAAAAAGGTTAATTGTAATAAATGAATAATAAAAAAAAAAAAATTATTTCTGAAAATTATACAATTGAACCTATCATTGCAAAATCTTTGCATGTTTTTTGTGTATATCAATGAAAATGACAAGTTCTCAGTCAATCCATGAATAAAAACAAAGCAAATTCAGGTGATTAGTATTTATACATGGTTAAATATTCATTTTTGTATGTATCATACAATATTTCTTTAATTTACTCAAATAGTAGATACGTTGGAAGGGACAAACCTTTCATTTTTTTTAAAATTTTTGTAGATATAAGAATATCATGGCAATTGCCTACAGGTAGCTAAGCTGTTATCTTGATGAATGTAAGGAAAGATGAATTACTTAAGGGCTTTCCAGATTTTTGATTACACCTTATTTTGATAAACAGGCTGATATAACAGACATGGAAGTGAAGCTTGGAGCTTGGTCATGGGACTCAGATTCAGGTGAAGAGTTTCGAGTGGGTGCAGGATTAGCAGAGCCATATCCCCTCACTTGGTGCGCAGTCGAGTACTTTGAGATCAGTGGCGCAATCCTCAGGATGCTCCTCAAAAAACACTCTCCAAATACTCCTCATCTCGGAAGAACTCTTCTTCACCATGCCATCCTCTGTGCTAGCAGTGTAGCTGTCAATGTGCTGATCGATTGTGGAGTTGATATCGAGTGTCCAGTTACAACATCCAATACTTTGTTCCGTCCCTTACACATGGCTGTTCGACTTGGGTTACCAACGATCATCCGAGCTCTTCTTGAAGCTGGCTGTGATATAAATTCAAGGACTAACTCTGGTGACACGGCTCTTATGATATCTGCCAAGTTCAAGCAAGAAGAGTGCCTCAGGGTACTGGCAGCAGCTGGTGCTGATTTTGGGCTGATCAACGATGTTGGCTTTTCTGTTGCTTCAATTGCTTCCTCAAATAAGTGGTCTTTGGGTTTTCAAGAAACAATTTTGCAAGTCATCAAGGCAGGGAAAGTTCCTCAAAGCAGCAATTTCTCTACCTTTTCACCTTTACTATTTGCTGCTCAAGTTGGGGATACAGAGGCTCTGAAAATATTATTAGCGCAGCCAGAAATAGATATCAATCAACCTGACGACAATGGCTTCACAGCAGTCTTGCTTACAGCCTTAAAAGGTCATGTAGAATCATTTCGCTTGCTTGTATATGCCAAGGCTGATGTGAAACGATCCACTAAATCAGGTGATACCGTGATAACATTATCAGAGCTCAGCTGCACCAGAGACTTGTTTGAGAAGGTGTTACTTGATTATGCACTTGAAATGGACAACCGCTATGCTGTAGGGTTCCATGCTCTTCACTGTGCTGCACGTCAAGGAGACCTAGGAGCTGTCCAATTGTTGACTAGCAAGGGTTATGATGTGAATGCTGCTGATGGAGATGGCTACACACCTCTAATGCTAGCAGCCAGAGAAGGACATGCCCAAATATGTAAACTCTTGATTATGAAAGGAGCTTCTTGTGATTTTAAGAACTCCAGAGGTGAAACACCACTTTCTTTCGCAAGGAAGAATGGTAGGAAAGACAACGAAGCAGAAGGAATTATACTAGATGAGCTCGCTCGAAAGCTGGTAAGGAGAGGAGCTTGTGTGCAGAAACACACTAAAAGAGGCAGAGGGTCTCCCCATGCTAAAATGATCAAAATGGTTGGAGCGACTGGAGTTCTGACATGGGGAACATCCAGCAGGAGGAATGTGATCTGTAAAGAGGTTGAAGTTGGACCTAGTGCACGTTTCTGCAAGAACAGGAGAAGCAAGGGTGATGCAGATGAAGCTGGGGTGTTTCATGTAGTAACAACCAAGAACAAGGAAGTGCATTTTGTGTGCGAAGGCGGTTGCAATGCTGCTAAACTGTGGGTAAGAGGGATCAAGCTTCTGACAAAAGAAGCTGTATTTAGCTCTAAGCTGAATGGTAATTGAATGATGAGGTACTTCATTTAGGTATATTGGTGTTCTATAGTAGTGGTGTAATACTTCACCTCGAAGTATTCTTTCATTGTAAATATTTGCGAACAGTTAAAGAGAATCAAAAGAAAATATTTTCGAAATTGTGTCAAACTGGCAAAGCAGTTTTGTGGGAAAGGCAAAATTATACTATTCTGACAAACATCATCGATTCTTACAACTCATATACCTTTCAACAGTAATATATCATCTCAACTGGAATATACATTAGCTTACCCAAAGTTAGTTTTGAACATAAGCAATACTTTTCGACAGGATATAATCCTTATCAGATACTGAAATGCCCATTTAGACACTTCAATTTTCTTAGAAACACGATTGTAGAAAAAACTGTAAACATAAAACAAAGGAGAAGACAAATGTGTGATATGTGCTCATAACTGTGAGTAAACTCATGATAAGTCTTCAATAACAGGAAAATGTTCCATTTATATTGTGTCCCTGCACCCTTTTCTAAAATTTTCAGCCTTGATGTGTCAAATTCTGGGATATGTACCCACAACCCAAGACTCATACCTGTGTCAACAAAGGTGACCAGAAGACCAATTTCTACTCAGACCGAATTTACTTGACCAAAATCAAGTGATAGGTCAAACCCTACTAAGATTGAAGCAGTCTTGAGACCATAAATCCATCATACCAATTAGAAAATGTGAAGTATTTATTCCAAAAAAGGCTTTATCGGTGTTCTTTAAAGCATCCAATAACAACAAGCTTTGCAATGTACAATGATGTTGATTCAGCATCCTTGAAAAACAATTCCATCTAATCCAAACATTAAGTTTAGAACCTAAGGTAGCAGTATGAGTAGATCAAATAAGGAATGCATTTAAAAGTATTTAACCCGCGGATATCTCCTTCTCCTTTGCTTTACACATATCCTCAGCAGACTTGACAAACTTCTTAGTCAGCTCATCAATCTAAAAAAAACATAAAGAAACTATCATCATTAATTGGCAAAATAAGAAAACCCAAAATACAAATTTGCCAATGTTAGTGACTACATACTTCTTTCTCCAATTTTTTGGCACCGTCTTTAGGGTATCCAGCTTTCTTTATAGTATCCAATGCCTGCATAAGACATATATTTGGCTAAATGAGAATATTTGACAATCAATTGCTCTTACAACAAGTGATTTTAGATATCAGTTCCTATGTAACACTTAAATATTAATGACATGCCCCCAAAGCTTGTGAGTAGACTTTGGCATTAAATAGGATTCAGGATAGTGAGGGTGCTTCAAAATGAAAGGTCAAGTTTGGTTATCTCAACAGAAATGCCTAGCTCCTAGTGAGCCTTGTTTGCAAGTATTTCTACATTGTGAAAAGGCAAGATACTTCTGGAGGAGGGTGTATTGGGTTTTCCCTAGCAGCATCTTAGCTTTAAAGGGTTTGGTAAGTGATCTAAGTGTAAGGAGAAGTTGTGGTGCAACAATTCATGGAAATCATGTGACGTGTGTAGCTGGAGCATAACTCAAAGGAATTAACAGAAGTCTCCTTGTCTTTTCAATAAGTCACTTATTTGGCTTCGTTAAGGGCTAAAGCAGCCGGACTTTAATAAGTTGGTTAGGAAGGTTCAATGAAAATGGGTTAAAAGTAATATTGTTTTTTTTATTTAGAGGACAACTTGTCCTCTTTGTTTTGTAATCTTTACTGCAGCTGTTAATAATATTTTTCTTTTAAATTTAAAAGTCGAAAATTATCCATGTTTTGGAGAATCATAAGCTCAAAACCTCTCAATTGCCTCAAACTACATACCATGCAGTTGATAATCACAACCTATCTACCCCAGAACCCTTATTATGATAAGTTAAGATCCAGATTACTCTGCAGTAGAAGCTTTCCACCAGTGAAGTGACAATTTACACTTTGTTTGGATAAGAAGTAATGCAGAAAAAAGGAAAGAAAACAAGTTTCCTAGTTAAATTAAGAGGTTGGGAGAGGGGGGGGGGGGAGGGGGGAAGGGGGGGAGAGAGATCCATTTTTTCTCCCTCTTTGATGGAGCTCCACCTTCTTCCTCTTGTACTCCCCCTCTTTCCCTTCTATATAGCTATCCAAACAAAATGTACGAGAACTGAGAAAAGGAGGAAACTCCACTAGCTCACTGGCCTAAACTGTGTGAACAGCTAAGGCATTTCTTCTAATAAACTCTTACTCTTTTACTCCTCAAACTGCAAAATGGGGAATGTTTAAATCAAAAGGTATTGTTCAATTGAAATAACATGTTATCATCACCATCAGCATCTCAGCATCAAGATGCCCTTTCTGAGAAAATCCTCAGTTTTTCTTAATTTTCCAACCCAAAGACACAAACACTGTACTGGACAGAGGTGGAAACTACAAATGAAAAACAAAACGAGAATTTTTGAAGATTGAAAATAATAATGTCTTCTACAAACCTTTTGGCGAGCTCTCCTAATGCTTTGCTTTACATCTTCACTTGATTTAGCAACAACCTTACACATGGCCTACAGAATTCCAAATATGAAAAGGGAATATTAGTCCCTTGAGATCAAAGGCAATATATTGAAAACAATGGAGTTAAGAACTTAAGACACACCTGTATGTGCTCCTTGGTTAATCTGCTCGTCACAATGAACCGTCAAATCAGTCAGTAAGGAATAAAGAAGTCTCAGATATAATCCATAAGATAAATTATACAAAGAAAATCTAGGTATCTAATAAAGACAAGGACGAATTGCTTACGGAGGAACCAGAGCTATCAATCGTTGACCATCTACTTTTGGATTTAAGCCTAGTGGAGATGAAACAATGGCTTTCTCCAATTCTTTAATAGTCTGCAAACACAGTCAGTGAACATGATTAATTTACTAAAAGCAGGGTATACATGAATAAAATATCATTTCCTTAGTTTCTTTTATTGTTCATTCATCTTTAAATACTGTCTCAAAACATTACAACCTAAATATAAAAGATGTTTCAAGCAATCACAGCATTAACAGGTTAAAAGAGCTATGGAAGCCAATGAAAGTGCGCATCTAATAGTTATTAGTGTGTGGCTTGCAACAGAAGGAATGAAGGGTGCATCAAAATCGTGTAAGAAAAGCAAAATTAAGAAATTTTGCATTGTGAAGAATTAATTCCTTACATCTGCGTCATATGGAGTTATTGATAGAGTTTTGGAGTCAATAATGGTGACAAGAGCAATTCGGTTCAGATTCATCTTTACACCACTTGTTTCCACAATGATATGGTCAAGCATTCCTGTAAACAGTAATAAGAGTTTCATTTACTTCAGGCCAATTATTAACAATCTTCATCTTCATAGAAGAGACAGCAATGAACCTGTAGATGCTCTTCCTGTTCGTAGCTTAGTTAGTTCTCTTGATAATGCATCTAGGGCTGCCTCCATCTGTGAACTAGCAGTTGATTTTACAACAGGCCCAATGTCTTCGACAACTTGAGTTGTATTAGCACTATCATCACCCTCTACATACAAAAAAAAAAAAAAAAGGAACAAAAAAATTTAAATCACACCGAAATCCATGTCCCATTTAATCAACGCATTTGTCAAAATTTACAATGACAGTAAAAATGTCAAGGACTCAAGGATCTCTCTATTCATTTACTCTGCTGAACTTGGGCAGTAAATTTCTAACAAATACAGAGTACATATCATAGGAACCAACATAAGTTGTACGGTAAAAAAATATCATATCCAAGACATGTAAATTGTAAGCCCAATTGTTTCTTAATATAGCCTTCCTGGAAAGGGGTTGATCAATCTCAGTGCCCTTTTGGTATATTCATCTGATTTAATAGGCAATCATATAAGAATCGATGCCCATTGCAGTATAAATTTGTTATAGACTAACCTATGGAGGGACAATATGGGTAGTCTAGCATTATTAGGTTCATAGTCTTTAAGTTTAGTATAATAAACTATAAATAGAGGGGGGAGAGGAAATGGTAGGCAGATTTTGGGAGTGTATCCTTGAGAGAGTTGTGACCTCATGTCACAAATTTGAAAGTGGTGGCCTAAAGTCAATAATAGTGATTGGCAGGCTGGCAGCCTAAAGTTGCTAGCTTGTACAAACCCCCGTTGTCAATATTTTCAATCTAAGGTTCGATGTTAATCTCTGTTTTCAATTTTACTTGTGTGTGTGAAAATCCATCAAGCTCGAATCTAATACAAAATTAAATAGCACAACTTTCAACTTAACTTTTCTAAACCGTAAAATAAGTAAGAGACTTCAACACCCCATCAAGAGTTTGAATGGGAAAATTCTCATAGATTAAGAAATAAACAACAGAACAATTAGCAATATGTCAATGGCCACCACTAAAATCAACAAGATGGGAACTAGGATTTTTTGGAGGAAGAAGAAAAGAGAGGAAAGAAGATAATTATATTAACCACTTGAGAGTAATTGAGAAAGCTCTTTCAAGAAAACCCATAGTAAAAGTTTTGTTGGGAAAATGAATGATTTTCTACCCCTAAGGTACATTGTGTTTTTGTTCAACTTAGGACATTCTTCATAAATAAATTTTTATTTAAAAAAAAAAAAAAAAAGACAGTGAGTTAGGCCGTCCAGACTCATTACCTTAAAGTTAACACCCAATCTAGTGTTCCCTACTACTTAAGAACCAAAGGAGAGAAAAAAGAAAAAAAAAGAAAAAAAAAACAACAAATGATAATCTTGTTTGAATTTGCTTATCCTTAGAATTCAAAATAACAAAAAATGACATTTATTTTGACTAACGGAATATGTCCATCGTCCCATTACTTTGATAAATAAAAGCCACAAAATTTAGAGTGAGATAAGCTAATTAGTAAAGGAATTTGTCCAAAAATCCAAGCCCAAATGTAAGCAATAAAGTTAAGTGTACAAAGTTGTGATTCCCCAACGATAGAATTAGCTACAATTGAATCATATGTAGCCAATTCAAATTAGCTGTACAAGCACAACTATGCAACACACAACCACAACATGAATCCCAATAATGGAAAGGGCGTTTGCAATTTTGCATGAACCAAGATTTATTCTCAAGTAGCTGTTGATAAAGATTCTCTCCCTCCATGCCATTCTTTTAAGTGTTATGCTCTTGTAAACTCGATTTTCATATTTATTGTAGACTCCCTTTGATCAGGATTTCAGGTCATCTAAGATTTCCCTCGGATTCTTCCAACTCCCTACTGTCCTTACCAATGTATCTTCTAGTTGCTGCCTCACATGTCCTTACAAAAGTAATTGGTTCTCTCATATGTTATTGCGAAACATCAACATTTCCAACTTTCTTTTGTATGTATTCATCCTATCCTTTAAGGTGTTCCCACACATCATTCCCAATATGTTCATAATCATCTTCCTAATATGCTTCTTCCTAGATGCCAAACATTAAACCCTCGTACTTCTTCCGTCCCTTTTTTATAGTCCCTTATGGGCATTTTTCATGGGAATTAATAAGCACAAATAAGAATAGTAAAAGCACATTGAAAAAGTAAATTGACATTGGGTATACAAAAAAGTAGAGAGAGAAAGTAATAAAAGAACATGGGAAAACAAAATTTACATGAGAAATTTAAATTTGCACAAGTATTGTTGCAAATTGGAGAGAATTTTGGTAAAAATTAATATTAATGGTTGTTGGAAAAAGCAAATGGGATGAACATTTTGGGACTAAAATTTGCCCATAAGGGACTATCAAAAGGGGACGGAGGGAGTAATAGTTTTGGTCTAATAGTTGTCTGATAAAATTTTCACTTTAACTTAATTAAGCTACAATCACATAATACTCCGGTTATTGCTCTCCATTGGCCCACCTGAAATTAATCTTGTGACTCACATCTTGGTCAATATCAACAAACCTTTATAGGAAAGACCCAAGATACATAAAACACTCTCTCTCTTTCAGCTCCTTACCATCCAATATTACGACATCCTCATCTTGACTTCCTTCTAGTACTAAACCAGCACACTATGTACTCAATTTGCCCTTACTTAGTTTAAACACCCAAGAATTTAAATTTTGCCTCCATAGCTCTAATTTAGCATTAACCCCAATTCTAGTCTCTTTCACCTATGCAATATCATCCGCAAACAACATACACCATGATGACTGACCTAAAATACCCCGTTGATTCATCTAATACCACAACAAATTGTAAAGGACTCAAATCAGAGAGATCCCTAGTATAATATAAATATAAAATCCTTGGTTACTCCTCCACAACTTGTCCATGGGTTTTCATACCTCGATACGCATCCCTAACTGGCTAACTAAGTCAATAATTTAACAAAATAGGGTCAATTACATCAAATGCAAACCAGAAACTCAAGTTTTTAGAAAGAATCGCAGCAAAATCAATCAAAGTATTAGAAAAGATTATTCCCTCAATGAGGGCATCATCACAAAAACCCATATATATCAATATATGTTTGAATTAGAATCAAAACCGAATCAAATGCAGCCAATTCAAATACTGTTATGGGTACAAATATAACAATTGCAAACAAAAAGCTCTCAAATTTCTTCAAAATTTCTTTTCCCATTTCATAATTTACTTCAAATAACGAAATAAAAATAAACAAACAGAAATTCCAATAGCAACGAAAAAATGGCAGCATCATACAATCATACAATAAACCAAAAATGAAATTGTCAACATGAATACAGATTACTTGAACACAACAATCAACAAATAAACAAGAATCAATGAATTGGAAAGGAAACATACTTGACTTGCGGCCTTTGGCAAAACCCCGGCGACATTCTTTGAGGAAATCGGAAGAAGGGAAGGCGGGAAGTGGTGCAGAAGAAGAAGGGGTGAAGAGAGAAGGGTTGAAATGAGAAGTGGGAATGTGAGAGAGAGTGCGAGAATGGAGGAGGAGAGAGAAAGAGGTGCGATGATGAGTGAGTAATCTACGAAGCGACATTGATAGGGAGTTGCAGGAATGAAGAAGAAGATGATCTGTGTATTGGGGTTTTGCGAGGGTTTCAGGCGTTTTTCAGAAAGCAGGGGTGATTTTGTGGCCTTGTGGGGAAATGCTAGGAAATAAGAATGTCTTGCTTGGCTCGTTCCGACTTAGGGCCTGTTCCGATTGACTGAACTGAACTGAACTGAATTTATTAATTAGTGATTTTTAATTACGGATTAGTGATATTTGATTATTTATTGATTATTTATTACTATACATATGTGTATATACAAATGTACATATTAATAATAATAATTATAATAATAATAATAATAATAATAATAATTACAAATATTATTATTATTATTAATTATTGATGATTATTATTATTATTATTTATTGATTATTATTATTATTATTATTATTATTGTTATTATTATTATTATTATTATTATTATTGTTATTATTATTATTTATTGATGATTATTATTATTATTATTTATTGATGATTATTATTATTATTATTATTTATTGATTATTATTATTAGTATTATTATTTCAATTATTATTGTTATTATTATTATTATTATTTATTGATAATTATTATTATTATTATTTATTACTTATTGATTATTATTATTATTATTATTATTGTTGTTGTTGTTGTTGTTGTTGTTGTTGTTGTTGTTGTTGTTGTTGTTGTTGTTGTTGTTGTCGTTGTAATAAGAGCTTAAAAGAATGAAATTTGGCTTTTTATCATTAGCAATATCATTAGACGTAAATTAAGAACTGAACTGAACTGAACTGAGCTGAGCTGAACTGGACTGAACTGAACTGAATTTCAACGAAAGAGAACAGGCCCTTAATTTTTATACGTGGTTGGTCACACTGTGGCCACGTTTGGTAATTGGCTTTTTAATGGCTTTTTGGTTAGCTTTTGGCTTTTGGCTTTTTTAGGTGGTCAAACAGCCAAAAAATGTGTTTGGTAATTGTAGACACCCATTTGTGTCTCCCCAAAACCAAACCCGGTGATAAGTACCTTTCACGTCGAATCATAATCGAATGAAACGAAAGTGTGGAAAGGTCTGGTGTTGCGGAAAGTTTTAATTCTTTTCTCTTCTCTCTGTTTTTGAAAACTTTATTTTAAGAAAACAGCCAATCCAGTTTGGTTGGTCCATGATATGGGTCCAATAGTGGTGTAGTTGGATGGGGCTTGCAAAGACCTTTCCAACGATATATTATAAGCCCAATTCTGATGAATATTGACGAATTTATGGCCAATTTACTAAATTGAGCTCGATTTGAGCTTTAAGTACGCCCCAATGATCTAGGGGAGGGCCTAATATGATTTATCATTCCTAATGCAATTAGGAATGGTTTTGGTCTTCTAGAACATTCTAGAAGGTTTTTATCATTCTTAATTCAATTAGGATTCTTCAGAGTTTTAATCAAGATCGAATAGCATTTTCGACTAAAATTATATTATTTTATCTTCCAGTACGGGAAATTTATCGGATTTTCGAAAACGCGTTGAAATCCAATTTGGCGTCCAACCCCAGGCCTTGCCATTGGCGCCTGGCGCTAGCCACTGGTCCTGGCGCCAATGAGCCAGAGCTGGCGCCAATGTGTTTTTGCGGTCTTCAGACTCTGTTATCTTTTTTTGGATGATTTTCTCTATAAATATCGTATCAAAAACTCCGTTTTCATGGATCATCTACATCTATCGTTCACCAATTCTCTTTATTCTTAAGTCTTCATCAACTATCTTCACCATTCACCAATTAGCATTCATCTACAGTCAAATAATCCTTTTCATTCATCTCTTTTCATCAACTTTCATCAACATTCTCTTCTTTCTTTTCTTTCTTGCTTTAATACAAAATTCCGCATTCACAAGGTCTTGAAACACCTAGCCATATTCGGAGTTGCCTTCGCCCTAGACGTGAAAGGTTTTAATTTCTGAGGGTTTGGTCCCAAATCTCTCTTTAAATTATTTAATTTAATTATTTTGATTATTATTTTCCTTGAAGTTACTAACGTGTGTATTTTGTTATTAGAAAGAGGTACGAGGCATCCAAGTAAGTGCCTTAATTGATTAATTGATATTATGATGTAGATATCATGCTTAGATTGTTATTTTGATTCCTAGTATCATGTCTAGGATAACTTTTAATATCAAGTATGATTAAAAGTACGATGCTTCCTATTCTCTTCCTAATATTTATGATTGTTAGTATCATGTTAGGGCTAAAAATTTGATTTTTATTGTTTAGTGACATGCTAGGGTTTGTTATTAATCTTGTTAGTATCATGCCTAGGATCTTGCTATGCTTTAACATGATTATGATGAACATGATTATGATTGATATTATGATTATTTATTTATTATTATTAATGATATTGATTATTTATTATGTTGCTTGATACATATTAATGATATTGATTATTTATTATGTTGCTTGATACATATTATTTGATATTGTTATTGCTTGATCACCTTTATTGCATGTTTAAAGGGAATTGGTACTTGCAACCACGCTTAATAAGATAATTAATAATCTTGTTAGGTTAATTGTGATTATAAATTCAAGTGATCGCCAATGATAGTTTATTTGTGCATTAAAATTCAACCAACATAGATTAAACAGGTTTAGGGTTAATCTATTGATTGTATGTTAGTCAAAAAGCGCACATGAATACGATCAGAACAAAGTAGATGCCTATTATTAGGGCAGGTTCAATCTCTTTTAGGTTGGATTTGTACCATCATCCCCGAACCCTTATTTGGTTCATGACCTTATGGAGTTGGCGATCTCTTGGATCGTTAAGGGGTGTAACCTTCACCTCGTGAACGGTTTACAAGTTCCTTAAAAACTTGTTGGCGACTCTTTTGCTCTATCTTCTTCCCTTTTGGACGCCACCGTACTTTAGTGTATGATCACAGTGGGGTTCAAGCTAGTGGGATTTTTAAAGGGTTGAAATTATTCCCTACAGTAATTGGCTTTTTAGTCAGCGAAAAAGCTAGCTTTTAAGCCAAAATGAAAAAGCTGCTTTGAGTAGCTTTTTTATTGGCTTTTGGCTTGTTGGCCCACAAATTATCTAATAAACAGCCAACAACCAAAAATTAATTTACCAAACACTTTTATAAACAGCCAGCTTAAACAGCCAATTTCAAAAGCCATTATAAACGGCCAAATATTCCACCTCGTCAAACAAGCCAAGTGAACCAGCCAACAACCATTTGCCAAACAAGGCCTGTATGTTTTATTTTTTGAAAGTTTTTTGGGGTTTTGCAATTTTTTTTTTTTGGTACATGCATCTCTTAGCCATTATGAGTCTAGTATGGAGTAAAAATGTAGAAATGTCAATTCGGGTTGTAGATTGCGTTAATATCGGATTTAGTTAGGTCAAGTCATTTCAAATTTGAGGCCGGTAAATATTATATCAATGGTGTTTGTGAAGATAAAATTTTGAATCAAATAACCACAAATTAGGTGAACTTGTTTCTCAATAGATTAGCTTTTAACACTTTTTTTTTTTTGACTCTCTAATTATGGATCCAATATAATTAATTTTCTAGTAAACAAAACGACAACATTAATGGTGTAAATGTGATTTGATCTTAAATCTTGGAATCTAAACCTTAATACTTTAGTCAACAAGAGCCTTTTAGCATCCACATAAATATAGAGTACGAAGAATAAGATACGCCACGTGTCGCCATATTATTAGTTTAGAAAAAAAGAAAAATTAAAAATTAAAAAAAAAACAAAAACAAAAACCCTAAAACTAACCCAGCCACCCCCCCCCCCCCCACCGTTAGCACCTCGACGACACCACAACCCCACCCTTACCTTCCCGTTCCCAGTCCAAAGCCCTCGAAAAACCCCCTCCTTCCCTTTCTTCCTCCCCAAAACCGACAATCATACCCCCCAAAGGACAATGACCACACTCTAAGGCCATTCATTTTGCAAACAACCAAAAAAGCCCCTAAATTGGCCACTTATGGCCGAAATCGATCGGTGGTCAAAATAAACCATTTCGGCCCTAATTCAGGCTATGTCGACTATTAGCGGCCTTTAGTGGTGACTAGTTTTTAATGGGTATGAACAACAATGACCGCTTTTTATGGTCGCTGGGGAGGGCTGTCGGTTTTGGGAAGGGGGAAGGGAAGGGGCAAAGTTGTCGGTGACAGGAGCTGTTAGGGTAAGGGATTGGCGGCGGCGCGTTGCCGGAGGTGGGGTTGACGGTGGAGGTGCAGTGACTGGATTAGTTGTAGGGTTTTTATTTTTTAAAAAATTATTTTAGACCAATAATATGCTGACACGTGGGCGTTGTAACCCCATCAACGGATTCCATCCATGAATCTTGTTAAGTGGTGGTAAAAGCCAATTTTTAAAAATTTTGGTGGTGTCAAAATAAAACCTTTTTTTTTATATTGTTAAAAATTAAATTCGTGCTTTTTTTTGGTGTTAAAATTCAAAAAAAAATTACAAGTATTATATAATTGTAATACGATATCCTCAAATTGGATACCAAGCATAGCTTAGTTTAGTGGTAAGGTTTGCATTTCAGTATTTCACAACCATAAGTTTAGAATCTCAAAACCACCATTTGCTACAACTCAACCGTACATCTGCAATAGCTTCACCTAGTAGAGAAACAACATAGCCACTTTTTCTGCAATTATTAAGAAAAAATAATAAGAACAATAATATCTCTAAGTAGCTATAAATAATACACACCGACACATAACTAATTTAACAAACGAGTTAAGACAAAATAATTAATAGTTACTGATAAATACTCCCTCTAATCTCTTTTATTCTTATGCACATTCTTGATCTTGCTTATGTTGGTTGTTATTAACATGATTAATATTTTGACTAAATCTTTGAGCACCTTTTAAGCCACCAACAGCAGTGCCATTAGATTTCTTTTGATCTCTAGCTTTATTGAAGATGACTGTGAAACCTTCAGCAGATGCAGGATTATTTACATCCCATTCTCCAAACTTAGGCAATGGTCTACCTCTTGCATTATTGACGCCCTGCTGTTTTAAATATTTCAAAGTAAAACAAAAACGGTGTAATAAAAATAATTTATCACTTGTATATAATACTCTCATCTAATTCACCATCAGCAACTGAGCTCGGAATCCAAATTAGGCCATAGCACCAAATAAAATTCTAATTCAACATTAAAATTCATGTTATAATTGTACTACTACATTATTTACGTTTGTTTAAAAACATCGTCAAAACTTAACTAGGTCATCTTGTTCATTCTCAAATTACGAAAATAAAGGATATACTCATGAAATTATTGAATGAAATAATTTGGTGGAATTGGAAATGTTACTTAATGTTTGTATGTCACGACTATAATATATACGTGATAATAGGCGATATCAGACACTAGAGTCTAGATATATAAAAGCAAGGGTTATATTAGGAATTCCCTATTGAAGAGGGCTTCCTAATTTTTATTCTTCTTACCTTCAAAAAAAAAAAAAAAAAAAAAAAAAAAAATAATAAACTTAACGTTTATAAAAAGATAAACTTTAATATCATACATAATGATTTTTTTTTTTTATTATTATTGTAAATGTGATTAGATACATATATTTGGAATGAATAAATAAAAAAGGCATGATATATTTTTCAATATCTCATATTTCTAACAAATTTAAACAAACTTACCGACATCAACAATGATCGCAGGAAAAGTCAATAATGGAGCAAGAGGAAGAAAGAAGATGTTGGAGCCTGGGAGAATTGTAAATAGAATGAGGGCAATCAATTGAAAATGGAAAAATATTAACAAACAAAAAACAACAATAACTATTAAATTATGATACAGGGTGGAAGAAAGAGAGAAAGAGTGAGTCATTGGATATATTGTAACTAATAGCATGTGTGGTTCCTAATTCTTCTTTGTCTAATTTTAAGATTAGATTGGAAAATTTGTTTAAATATAACCTTGATATCATTTATGGTCCTAAATTAATATGATTAATAGGAGAGATTTTTATTAATAGGGGTATGATCATGTCTTCATGTGACGTACTATGCAAGTGAAAATATTGACTCGGATTCTTTTTACTTAATGCCATGATTTATACTACAATCTCTACTTTGACTGTTCTTATTGATTACAATTATAAAAAATAAAATAAAAAATAAAAAAAAATCTACATGGTAAGAATTCAATTATTCTTTTTGAATGACAAACTTTTTCCAACTCTCTTAAGTGGCACTATGGTGTTACATAATTAAGTATAGTGTTTTTTAATTTAATTTTATAGTTAACTGTTATTGATTTATGGTTAATTAACCTTGGTTATACTAAATTAACTAACTAACCCCTTCTCTTCAACTAAACCACCACTCCTACCACCCCCTTTCCCGCGCAATAGCTGACACCTAGCCCCCCCCCCCCCCCCATGTTGGTGGCCCCCCTACCCACAAATTCCCCATCCCCCTCATTTGCCCCAGCTCGACTCCCACGACCCTCCCTTGTCTACCACCATGAAAAAGCTACTCCTATTAGCTTTTGGCGAAAAATAAAGTCAGCTTAAAAGCCAACAAAAAAACTAATTACCAAACATATTATTTAATTGTTTGACCACACTAAAAAGTCAATTGTCAAACACCCCCTTGGTGAAATTATATTACCAAGTACTTCGTATTAAATACGGTCCTACAACTTTTATATTTGTGCACTTTTAGTCCCTCAACTTTTATTTGTGCACTTTAATTTGGTCCCTCAACCACCATTCTTGGTGATTCTGGCCAAAAAGTTGATGGGCTAAGGGTCTGTTCTCATTGACTAAACTTAGCCGAACTGAACTGAAATGAATATTTTATAAGAGAAGAAAATTAGGAGCTGAACTGAACTGAATTTCAACGTATGAGAACATGCCCTAAGCCTAGTCAGCAAAAGTTTAGGGACTATGAGTCTTTTTTTTTTTATGTTTTTTTTAACAAAATTTATTTTTTAAAAAAAACTTTTTATTATTTGTCATTATTTTTACACCATTGTCGTTTCCATCAACATTAATTAAAAATTTAAAGTAATAAAAAACAATAATTTTCTTTAAAAAAAAAAAAGCATTATCTTTTATGCCTTCCACACTCTCTCTCCCCTTTTCCCTATTACCTCTCGATTTTCTATCTCCTCCCTTCTCCCATGGCTCCCAACGTACTCCCTCCCCTCCTTCTCCCATGGCTTCTCTCTCTACTCGTAATAAACTACCACAAACTCCTCATTCCTTAATATTTCCACCATTTTTTAGAATTAAAACCCGAAAATTGACAAATTAATTAGGAGAAAGGATATTGGATTACAGTAGAATTTTTAGGGAAGTGCTTGCTTCTTGTTCGTCCTCCATAAGTTTCTCCCAAACAAATCAATGAACAAACCTATTTCCCCCTCCGAAATCTCCGCTAAATCCTCCCACCATTATCCCACAATTGTTTGCATCAACAATGGCAATTTAGGGTGTTTAGGAATGTTAAGAAAAACAATAATGGTGGTAATTGTTCCTTAATGGCGGAAATAATGGTGTACAATTACAAAGACTTCCTAATCTGGAATAAAATTGCTTCAATTGATGAAACTTTTTTAGGGTTGTAATGGTGGTGGTTGTAATGTAAGGAGAGGCTGCAATGGCAGAGGAGGTGGCAACGGAGGTGGTGGTGGAGAAAGAGGTTGAGTGGCGGAAGGAGAAATGTTCTTCCTTATATTATTGTTTTTCCAATTAAAAAATTATGGAAGAATAATAAGCAATTTTTGTGGGTTTAATTCATGATTTCTTGGTGTTTTAGATTTTTTTTTTTTGAGTTTTCTCATTGAATTAGAAGAATAAGGAATAAGAATAAGCGATGAGTTGAATTAAATGTTTTTTTTTTCTTTTGTTAAACAATAAGATTAGATGATTCTTTTTAATTTTGAAGGAAAAAAGAAACTTTTATTATTTTTTTATTAACACTGACTGGAAAACAGAGAAAAATAAAAAATTAATGACTCATAGTCCCTAAACTTTTGCAGACTAGGCTAAGTCTCTCAATTTTTTGGTAAAAAACACCAAGAATGGTGGTTGAGGAACCAAAAGTGCACAAATGAAAGTTAAGGGACTAAAAGTGCACAAATACAAAAGTTCAAGGACCGCATTTATACTTCACTCGTAAATATAATGTAGCTACTTGTAAATTGTATTATGTCGCCACTTAGCTATCCTTGTACACATTTCTGTTATTCAGTGTAGTTTTCACATTACCATTTGCCCTTCCGGTTCCATTTCGTCTATTTTCCTTGAAAAAAAACCCAAAGGTGCTTCTCATTATAAGAAACCGGCAGATCTTTGTCTGGTGACTAGTCTAATACATTGTCTAGTTTAAAACTTGGCATATATTTCTGTAGGCGTCGCTCGAAGTGCGCCTACGTTAAAAGCATGTGTGAATATGCTTGGCACTCATAGGAAGTGGGAATTGACATAATACGACTAGGGACAAGGAAAGTAGGGAGCCGACAACAAGTTTTTCAGGAACTTGTAAACCGTTCACGGATCATAAAAGACAACCACGATTAAGGGACAACGAAGGCAACAACGATTAACCCGTGAAGGTTACACCCCATTCATAATCCATGAGATTACTAACTCCATATGGTTCGGAACCACGAAAGGAGGATCGGGGATGATGGTACGAAGTGAGTCATGGAGTCACATTCGCCCGTATTGGCCTCTACTCGATTCTTATAGTGAAAAATGATTCCTGCGATCTCAAAGGCATGCAAACAAATATTCAATTCGCTCTAAACTATTATTAAGCTAAATTGGTTGAATATTAATGCAACATATAATTCTAAAATATTTGTGATCACTTGAATTAAGCAACAAGATTAACAGGAACCTAAACCGGTTGTCCAAATTATCTTATTAGGCGTGATTTTCAATTACATATTCCCTTTAAACATGCAATATGGTGATCATAAATAATAATAATAGAATAAACATTAATATTGGAAGCAATTTAGCAATAATTCCAACAATATAAAATCGTTAGAAAAATAATAGAAATAAGAGGAACATAATTCTTACTTTGATTTTGTTTGTTTGCAACTACAAAATAATAAACGAGTTAGTAACTTCAAGAAAATAATAATAAAACAACAATTAAATTAAATTAAACAAAGTAGAGTTGATTTGGGGCCAAACCCTCAAACAGTTCTACCTTTCACGCCTTGGCTTAAGGACAGAACCACGAGTAAAGTATGGACTCCTTGGAGTACTTGAAGAAGGAATTTTGAAATAAGAAGGGTAGGCTAGTGTTTAGGCTAAAGCATAGAAGAGAGAAAATTAGAGAATTAATTGGTGCCCCGTACATTAGAAATGAGGGGATATTTATAGAGAAAATGTGCTGAGGGAGCACACGGAACCCTAAAATGATAAAAACCCTAAATAAGTATCCCGCGAAACGACAAATTGTACCGTGACACGGGAAGTCCCACCGTCAGACGGGAAACATTTCTTGTGACACGGTGCATTTTTAGTGTGACGCGGAAAATTTTCAGTAAACGGGGAAGAAAACGCGTTAAGGGTTTACGCGGAAAAGACACGGAATTTCCCGTGTCACGGCAGATTTCCCGTGTCACGGAAAATCCACCGTCAGACGGGAATGATTCCCGTGACACGGTGGGTACCTGCCGTGGCGCGGGAATTCCCAGCCCGCTTTTCCGTCTAAATACATTTTTAACCCTAATTTCATTCAGCATTTTAAGTGCCGATTGACAATTTCGGGCCTTTTCTGATTTATTATCATTTGGGCTAAAATAAGAAAATAATTAAATAAAATAAAAAAAAGGTTTGGGCCAAAAATAAATAATAAATTTGGGCTGAAATTAAAACTATGCTTTTACCAAACATCAAGACTAGCCCATGGACTGTTCAAAAATATAAATTTAATCAAATACGATTTTTTAAGCACTCTGGGGATTAAATACTGAACCCGACCAATAGTGGCGGTGAAAAGTTGTTCATCATCGGGTTTGGTTTTGGGGAGACATTTTTAGGTGTCTACAATTTCTAAGACAAAGGCACTAACCACCTTTCAATAATGTTGATTGGTATATAGCTGTTAGAAAGTTCAATATTAACTCCCCTAGCTTTTGACCTTTTGCTAGAAATTTCACTCATCACAAACACCTGTTGGTGAAGAAATTATGTGGTAGGCTGTATAATTTTGTATATACTCATCACGATGTGCTCATGGAATATATATATATATATATATATATATATATATATATATATATATATATATATATATATATATATATATATATATATATAGACAATAGTCAACATCCCATGAAAGATTAAAGAATGAATATTACCATTAGGGCCAGAGATTAATATTTGGAAAATGTAGGATCGGGCAAGGATCCATATTGTTATATGCTTGTAAGGTATAACAAAACTCTCCAGCAAAATGCAAAATCAAATTTTCACGTCAGTTATTATATATAATCTTCTATTAGTCTGGCAAAATTGTTACTTATGTTTGTACGAATTAATTTTTAATTAATTTTCCCTCTAGGGTTTTCTCTCTTGGGAGGGTCGTCTTCTAGCCTTTGCTAGTTTTTTTGCTTCAATCTCGAAGTTTGTTTTCTTGCAGTTTTACCTTCTAATTGATTTTGTTCTCTCGATACTGCTTCTATGGCGAGTCTCGAGGAAAGTAATGATTTATTATTAGATAAAAATAAAGAGAACGATGAGATCAATTGGGAAGAGGATGACGGAGGCGAGGAGGCTGCCCAAATCAAACTGGCCATCGTTGGAAAAATTCATACTCCGCGTAATGTGAATGCTAATGCCCTTATTAACACTATGAAGAAGGTTTGGAACCTAAACATGGATGCGAGGCGAATATCATTGGGGAAAAAACTTTCTTTTTCTAGTTTCACCATTGGAAAGACAAACAATTTGTGTTGGACTCTCAACTGTGGCACTTTGATCATCATGTCATGATCCTTGACGAAGTCACAGGTAACTCAAAACCATCATAAATTCCTCTTCACTTTGTTCCTTTTTGGATTTGTGTTTATGACTTACCGTTTAAAGGTAGAAATAATGAAGAGAATGCTAGGAGAATCGGTGATAAATTAAACTAGGTTCTTTCATTGCTATGGATAAGTCGGATGTAATAGGAATAAACAAATCTCTGAGAATTCGTGTTAAAGTTGATGTGAACAAACCATTGCAAAAGTCTATGGAACTTAGAACGGGGAGGGGCGTGATTGAAGTTCCAATCAAATATGAAAAGTTGCATGTGTTTTGCTATATATGTGAATGTTTGGGTCATGGGGAGAAGGATTGTGAGGAAAATATTGTTACAATGAGGTTCAATGAGAAGCTCCGAGTATCCAC